AATTGAACCCAGAGCTTCACGCATGCTAGGCAAGCACTCCACCACTAAGCCACCTTCCCAGCACCATGTCTGTGATTCTTTCTTTTTTCAGTCATGGGACGTGAACTCTGGGCCTGGGCACTGTCCCTCAGCTCTTCTCTCAAGGTTAGCATTCTACCACTTGAGCCACAGCAACACTTCCGGCTTTTTCTGCTTATGTGGTGCTGAGGAATCGAACCCAAGGCCTCATGCATGCAAGGCAAGCGCTTTACCACTGAGCCACCTTCCCAGCCCCTCTGTGATTCTTACAGATGATCTTTTCACTTAGCAAGAACTAAGGTGTTCCAGTAGCTCAAGGCTGGAATTCTAGTTACTTAGGAGGCTGAGGGTTGAGGATAAAGTCTGGAAGCCAGACCAGCAGAAAAGTCCCAAGAGACTCTTATCTCCAACTAAACAGCAAAAAAATCTATAACTGAAGATGTGGCTCAATGGTAGTAGGGGTTGGGGTAAGGGGAAGTGACATTAGAGCTTGAGGTCCTGAGTTCAAGCCCCAGAATCTGGAAGCTAAAACGATTTAATAGATGGAGGATAAAGATGTAATATGAAAGGCACATAAGCTACATCTTTTCATGATAGAAAAACATCCCTTTTCAGGATCAGAAGAATAAAAAAGAATGAAATGTGTTTAAGTAAATTGATACATAAATTAACATAATTCTAACAGAAGAGTTTTGAGTCAAAGGTAGAAAGAGAAAGGCATGATAAGAAAAACTTGATTCCAAAGTTCATTTGGAAAGATAGTCTGGAAAGATTATGATGAAACTTTTGAAGGTAGGAAGAAAGAATGGAAGAGAATTTCCCTAGTAGGTATTTAAAAAGAATTATAGGCTTAAGTACTTGATAATGCTCTCTACACTGACACATAAAAGTCACTAGTGTCTATATATATATTGAGCCTTTGTGCAGTTAGAGACCCTATATCTGTCCCTTGCTAGCAAGCTCTTAGGTGTGTGGTTAGGAGCTGAGGAATGGTTTTGTAATTAGAAAAGATTCTCTTTCTCCAGACTCATAGGCTCCACTGGTTTGGCTGACAGGAATCTTGGCTGGGTTTCAGTCTGTAATGGGCCTTTTGTAGGAATATTGTTGTACTGGGCATATTTGTTGACCACCTACAAGTCCTGCATGACATACTGTTATATTATGTCTAAGTTAAAATATGATCAGAAATATTTCTGAACATTGAATGGGCCATTTGATATGTGTAGTGTTGGCTTCACTGTTATTCTGTGGAAGGAGAGGTTAATATCAAAATAATTTGGAAAGCAAAAAGGAAACTTCATAACACTAGAAGAAAATATAAATAGTTTGGGTGGATTTCTTTATACACATTACTAAGATGTGAGAAATCATAAAGAGAGTTAGAGAGTTTCTCAGAGACCTCAACAAACCTTGGATGTTGTAAAGCAAAGGTCATCACTGAATATTGTTGGTTGTGAGAATAGAGGTAATATTCATTTCATTTTTGCAGTTGCTCCTGTTGGTTGTTTCCACAATGTACATGTTTCATGTTCTTAAAAACTAAGATAAGCTGGGCCTTGGTAGCTTACACCTATAATCGTAGCTACTCAGGAGACTGAGTTCTGAGGATCATGGTTCAAAGCTAGCCCAGGCAGGAAAGTCCGTGAGACTCTTAGCTACAATAAACCACCAGAAAATCAGAAGTGCCCCTATGGCTCAAGTTGTAGAGCATGCTTGCCTTGAGCTGAAAAGTGCAGGGACAATGCTCAAGCCCAGAGTTCAAGCTCTATGACTGCCCATTCACAAAAAAAAAAGAAAGGGGGGGGGGGGGAGAGAGGGAGGAAGGAAGGAAGGAAGGAAGGAAGAAAAAAACTAAGAAAGAAAGAAGGAAGGAAAGAAAGGAAAATGGGTATCTTTCTATGGCCCAGGCTGGCCTTGAACAACTGACTATCCTTCTTCAGCCTTTCTGGTCCAGGAATTACAGATGTGTATGCACCATCATGTTCAGCTATTACTTAATCCTTTAATTCAAGGAAGAAAATCTTTAGTCTTGAGCAAGAAAATTCATTTTAAACTTATAAGAATTCTGCTGAGTTTTTGTCAGAGTTTATTTGCAACTATGACAGAGTGAAGAAATTTAAAATGGAAATCTAAAGTATTTGTGATGGTTGGAATTAGTTTCTGATCCCTGTCTTCAGACAGGCTTCTACAACCACACTCTCCAGCACCTCACCACTTTCTCAGACATTCTAAAATTCTGACTTCAAACCTTTTTCTGTTTGGTTCTGAGATTTTTTTTATACTCTAAGCCATTTCATAAAGCAGTTCATATCCAAAGTCATAGGTTATAAAAAAAAACATTGCCAAGCTATAATAAAGAGATTTTCAACACTGGGAGAAAATATGAAAATGAATAATTTTTAGCACTGTAAGCAATGATCGGAAAAAACAGTTATGGATATTCATGTATCCTAATTCATCCATCTCATGGTAGGAATACTTGCAGCCATGAGTTTTTCTTTTTCTTTTCTTTCTTTTAAAATGTTTAGCTACTTCTAAGTCTCACGGAAAGGAAACACAGATCACCAGAGGCAATTTTTTCAGGAATCTAGAGTGGTTAGAGTGATAGAAAGTTCTTAATGTATGGGACCTTGTCTCTGAGATACTGAAAGTTCTGTAAAAGCTCAGGAGACATTTAATATTTGGTTTAGTAAGGAAGGACTTAAACATCCTCTTTAAAGCTACAGAAGCAAATCAATTTTTAAAAAAAGCACATGCTATATAACATTACATTTCCCACTATATTGTAGGATGGCGCTCATAATGTTTGATCTCTGTAGTTTGATTTGTTCTCCAGCCCTGGACATTTTTAAGAGTATCTGTGTTCTGAAGACTCATGTACACTTTCTTAGCACACCCTCACTATTTGGAGACATATCCTTGTGAATCTAGCATTGTGAATCTAGAGTCTTTTACTACTGTGTTGAAAACCAAAACAAAGCACCTGTTTGTGTCTACTAGATTTACCCATCTGGTCAACCTCTTTTTACTTAACTATGAGGCCACCATTTGTTTTCATTGAATAATCACACCAATAACAAGTCACTATACAATGTGTATTGCTCACACATTCATTGTTCAAAGGTTATCTACAGAACAAAAAGCAACTAGTATTATTCTCACTAGTATTGTTTTACTACTAGAACACTTAAAAAAATCTTCACTACAATTACGAGGCAAGTGCGTCTGTGTGACAGTACTCTCTCTAAATTTGACTACCGTGTGCCTGTGACTCTGAGTTGGGTTTTGAAATTGCTTCTGCCTGCTGTAATTGAGGAAGGTGTCCCAGGGCAACTGGGCGAGGAAGGAGGGAGTCTGCAATGGAATCTGGCTTCTCTGACCCTGGTTCCATTGTAACACATTGTAAACTCTAACCTTGTAAAAATGCCTTTTTCCTTTCCCAACTGTGTTTTGCCTTCAAGCTGGAACTTGGTAAATTAAATTCCAAGGAGCATCTCCACAAACTTTAGTAAAGGTCCTCTCATCCTCCGCAATTGCTTCCGTGGGAATACTTCGCTCCCCTTTCCCACGCAGAGCTTTACCAGGATCAACAAGAACAGTTCTTGTTTAGCCCTCCACCGAGAAACAGAAGTCCTGGCTGTTGAAGTAATTATCCAAATGGAGCAAACAAGCATCATTTGGTGATTTCAGGCAGAATCAACAGATTTTAATTTTGTTTTTAGAAAAGTGATTAACTCCGGGTGCCAGTGGCTCACACCCATAATTCTAGCTACTCAGGAGGCTGAGATCTGAGGCGGTTCAAAGCCAGCCCGGGGCAGGAAAGTCCTTGAGACTCTGATCTCCAATAAACCACTCAGAAAAACGGAAGTGGTGCTGTGGCTCAAGTAGTAGAGCTCGTGCCTTGAGCTGAAGAGCCGAGGGACAGCGCCCAGGCCCAGAGTTCACGCCTCACAACCGACCCCCCCTCCTCCTCCAACCAAACCAAACCTGATGGATTCCAGTTGAGTTTAGAGGATGAGGAAAAATACAAAGGGGGGGAAAAGTCTGTAGTCAGAGCAGCGGCAAAGATGCTGGTTCTTTCTGAGAAAGGCTAATTTTACTAGTATTTCTTTTGATTAACACTCCCCTACCCTCCCCCCTGCACCGTCCCCCCCCTCGAATTCCTAAGCCGCACCAGCAGAGAAACACAGAGCCAGATAGACCTCACCCAGTCTCGGGAAGAAGGTTCAAAAGGAAAGGCGGGGCGGGGGCGGGGTGGGGATGGGGTGGGAGGCGGCGGCGGCTGCGGTCCGGGCTGGGGACCGGGTGAGCGCCGCGCCCCGCCTGCACGCGCGCTTCTCCTGCGTCGCCTCCCGGTTCTTGGTGCGGTAGGCGGGGTAGTCCGGCGGCGATTGAAGCTGGCGAGGCGTCCCGTGTGGAAGAGTCCTCCGAGACCGCCCTAAGTGCCCGAGCCTGCCCGGGTGTGAGAGTTTCCTGGCGGCCGAGAGGGGGAGCCCCGCGTCCCCGGAGTCCCGAGCCCGAGTCCCAGTCGCTCGCTGCCAGCGCCAGTTTTGGCTCCGATCGGATTTTGGAAGAGGAGGGAGGGGGACCGCGAGCTGAGAAAAGGAGCGGACCCGAGCCGGGAGGGTCCTGAATCTAGAGACAAACTTTCCTTCCCGGGCCCCGGAAGCGGCGCCCGGGCGGGTGCGGGCGCGGAGATCGCCCGGCCGGCGGCGGGGACCCGGCGGCTCTCCACGCCCCTGCCGGGAGCCGGACCCGACTGCATCCCTGCGCCCTCCCTCCCCGCGCCAGGTACCGGGACCGCGGTCGCCCCGCGCCCTCCCCCGGCTGCGTCGGGACAGGTAGGGCGTCACCGCTCACGAACCGGCCTCCCCGGGGGCGGCGGGCGGCGGTCAGCGCGGGCTGGTGGAGGGCTGGCGCGGGGGCTCCGCGTCGCCGCGGGCTGCTGCCCCGGCAGGTTGCACGACCGAGCAGCCGGAAAGAGCGCCCGGGAGCCCTCGGGCAGCTTACGGAGGCTAAGACCTGTTGATGCCGGCGATGGCAGTGCTCGGTGAGGTCAGGGCGCCCGGGAGCCTCTGTTTTCGTCGGTGTGCGTGCGTGTGTGCTAAGTTTGGGGGGCCGGGGGCCGGTGCGCGGGAGCTGGGAGGAGGTGGTGGAGAGCCAGGGGACTGGACGCGGCCAAGCCGGCAAAAGTCATCGCTGGGTCCCCCGAGAGGCGACCGGAGAGCGAACTTCTTCCAGCCCGGCTTCCTATTGTTGGCTCCGGGAATGGAGGTGGGGGGGCGCAGGGCTCCGAGGCCCGGCGGCGGTGGAGACTTTTAAAGCCCCGCGCGGGTTGGGCCCGCGCTCAGGGGCGGTGTCCACATGGCTAGCTAGCCCTCCGGCTGGGCGAGCGCAGCGGCTCTGTTTGGAGGGCGCCGCGTGCGAGGGGCGCGGGGTACACGGAGGGGGGGGGCAGGTGACCTGGAGTCCCGCGTCCCGTGGCGAAGCTCGCTGGCTTGGGTTCCCCTCCCCGCCCCTCGTGGCCTCGCTGTACGGATTAGAGAAGCAGTGGCAGTCCGAACTCCGGTAATCCCGGGCTGCGGTGGGAGGGAAGTCTGGGCAGGCTGGTTTTCTTGGAATGTGTTTACAATGTTGAATGGGACTTGAACGGGGAAAGCTGGACGCGGCAGCTGGAAACCTCGTGCCGAGGCGGAGTAAGGAAGACGTAGCTGGTGTTGGGCTTGGCGCGTCCACTTGGTAAGCGTTGGATAAATTCCAAGTGAAAGACGGTCAAGGCATCTCTCTCTCTCTCGCTCTCTCACTCTCTCTCTCTCTCTCCCTCCCTCCCTCTCTCTTCCCTCTCTCTCTCTGGATGGTATTATTGTTGTTATTGTTATTATAATTGTTGTTGCTATTCTCAACAAAGCTTTTGCCTTTCCTTTGCAATCAGACGTTGACGGGCACTCATTAACTTTACAGGTTTGGCAGAATGTGACATAATTAGGAAAGACATCATAAGTTTGTTTGAGCTTGCTTTTTAAAAACGATTGCACCAACATGTGAGAATACCAAGTTTTGTGGAGCTTTCTTGTTACCATGGTTAATTTGTAGGGCTTGCAGGGGACTGAGATACTTGATGATTCTGTGTAATGCCTCATGGGTGATTAGGTCCTAAAAGACGGAAGATTAGGAGACCCAGTGAATGTCAGGGGGGTAGGAAACTCTGTGAAGAACTGGACATTTTTCAGATTTGCAAATTGCCAACTTTCTCTGCCAGTCTTTTCTCTCCCCCACTACCCTCCCACCCCCCACATAAACAAGTAGCCTTGCTAGAAAACTCCTCAGTTGTGAGCATGCAGTCGCTGGTGATTACAAGCAATACTGAAAAAAACAGCGGCCAGACTAAGGTACTGCTCCATTGCATAATTAAAAGGTCTCCTTGAGCTGTCCAGGAGTATTTTCCAAGTTTTTACGAGTGACAAGGAAAGAAGAGAGGAAGCTGGCAAGCAGCCAAACTCAACTGAGCTCAGTAGCCAGGCATGAAAGAGACTTGGGGAAGTTGGAGGGGATAATTGGAAAGGGGCTGTTGGTTGTACTTGGCCTTAAGTAAGGGGTTTCTTCTGCAGTGAGAATATTTGGGTGACTAAGATCAGTCTTCTTGGCCAAAAAACAACAAAACAAAACAAAACCCCAGTTGGATATAACTAAGGAGAGTGAGGAAGAAAGGCTAGAAGAGGAAAGTCTGACTCTACCTTCCTTATCAGCCTAGCCTCCCTATAAAAGAGCCCGGGCCTGATGCTGTTTGTGTTGATGTACTTTGCCAAAACCCACACTTTGTTGCTATCTGTCTCCTAGATTTGGACTCTGTGTGCTGAAACTTCAGCCCTTTGACCTTGACCTTGCTTCTTTGTTTTCATGGTCAGTGAGAACTGAAGACCTGGGATTCCAGCAGATGGTTTTCCACCGAAATCAAATAATTCAATTAGGTATTCTCAAAGAACATAGATATAGGCCATACAATTAAAGTAGAAAAATATTGGAACTTACATATCCACATTGTGTTACAGAAGGCATCCCAATACATGGATGCTGACTTGGCTCTTCTAACCGAAGAAGTATAATTTGGAGTAATCTCTGTTGTTAATGTCTTACCGCTTCTTAATACCAAGATTTAAAATCTTTGCTGCCACTTAGACTCTACTTTTGTTAAAGTTGTTTTTATTTTAGCTTTTTTTTTTTTTTTTCAGGGGTTTTGGTCTACTTCCATGGGCATGGGAGTTTGTGGCTTTTATTTCTTGTGGTTTGTACTTCTTTGTGAATTTGAGGTTGTGGGACTGTCAGCTGGCTCTGTGAAATTGTCTTTATGAATCACAGTGCAAAGTGTTTCTGACTGAGATTTCACTTTCCCACTTCCACAGTGAAGAAACAAACTTTTTTTCAGAATTGAAAAGTAGAACTAATGTTAGCAGGCTTTTAGAGATAAAGGTGATAGTGCTTCTGACTCAACTGCCCCAGTTGAATATATGAGCATAAAATAGGAATGTATTTATCTAGAATATAATGCAATAACATATCTCATAATTTTCAAAAAATATGATTTTTCACACTTCAATCATAATCATAAATTTTTCTTTTCAAAGATATTGGGGGAGTTTTTTTATAGTTATAGTTGACTCTTTTTATTTAAAGAGAAAAGATCAGCAAATTCATCATTTTTATTTTACTTTATATTTATGTTCATGACCAGTTTTCTTTAGGTCTAGCTCAATTTTGCCTTTATGAAAAGTTTACACATATATTTGCAGAACTTGGTTCCCTTCTTAGAAACAATGCTCGAGATGTAAGCTTTATGATGTAAGCTTTCTTTGCCCTATAGCCACATAATTTTCTTAATAATTTGAATAATTTCCAACAACATTTATTGCACACCTACTGAGAGCCATTTGCCCTGTGTTTTATTTTCAGTGCTTGACTTCTCAGCTGTAAACATTTCCATGTATTCTTTTACCTTTCAAGCATCTTACCTGGTTATGTCATTTGTTGTTTATGTGCCTGTATGTATTTGATGAACTAATTTTTGATCCATTAATGATACTTGTGAACTCTTTAGTGTTTAGTTTCACATGTCCATCAGTGCTATTTTTGTAGTTCAATATACTACACTGCATTTTTCTTTCAGAGCAATAGGTCAATTTAAAAGAAAACAGACTGAGTATCTATCAGTTTATTAAGCAATAACATCTGCAGCACAATGCTTAGTAGCTTCTTATTTTACACTTTCTGTGATCAAGAAATAATAAACATATAAAAATAGGAGTAAATGGAAGTAAGTGGTTGTTGTAGTTGAGCTAGCACTGTAAAGTATTCTTATGAATTACTAGAGAATATTCAGAATATATATGCATGCATATACTAGTCATTTTAATGTCAAAGCCCTCTTTTTTCTTTAAAAACCCCTTTTCCCATTGCTGAATGGAAAAGATGATTTTTATTTAAATTTGACTTTGTAGAGCGATATGTGTTTGTGATTTGAAGTGCACTATTACAATGTGTCTTCTGAAACCTCTACAGGATAAGAGAATTATTTTATTTGAATGTAATAATGAATTCAGAGATAGTCACAGAAGCCAGTTGTGTGGTTGGCTGCCTTGAGCTCTGGTCCCTAAACATATTAGAGGCTGGTGTCAGGAAGCTTAAGTTTGTTCCTATGGGAGCCTAAAATATATTCAAATTCGAAGAAGAGAAATTATATAAACTTAGAACATAGAAATCCTTTTGCTTCCAAACACTCAAGATAAGGCATTGGGATTTAGACCTTTAATTTTAAGGAGAATGGCTCCCAATTTTTCTTACAGAAGAAGACTCAGAAAACAGCACTTAGTCTTTTCAGGCTCTCTTATTTGCTAATTTTGTTAGTTCGATTTTGTATTTTGTTTTTGCTGAGAAAATGTTTTCAGCAATTCTAATGATGCTTGCTTGCTATGCCTGATTATTTTTCATCAGAACACAGTTAATGACTCAATTTGAGCTCAATAAGTCCCCATTTCCTGCTTACTTCAAAATAGTATAGTTTGTGGTAAGCCTGAAATTGATTTTCTCTTTCAGTATTGTGTACTAAAGAATAGTTGGGGATCCAGAAACCCGTGGCTTATGCCTGTAATCCGCTAATCAGGAGGCTGAGATCTGAGGATAGAGGTTCAAAGCCAGCCATGGTAGGAAAGTCCTTGAGACTCTTATCTCCAGTTAACCACCAGAAAACCAAAAGTGGCTCTGTGGCTCAAGTGGCAGAGCACTAGCCTTGAACTGTAGAGCTCAGAGTCAGTGCCCAGGTCCAGAGTTCAAACCCTATGACTGCCAAAAAAAAAAATACAGAAACAAACAAATAAAATGTTTGGGAGTGACTACTTTAATTTTCTCACTTATTATGAATAAGTGACATGTAACATTTGTAATGACCACTGCATTTGCTATCTTACAAAGATTAGTATAGTTTTATAAAGATTCTAGAAATTCCCTGGGGGTTTATGCCTGTAATCTTAGCTACTTAAGAAGCTGAGGTCTGGGCTGGGAATGTGGGTTAGTGATAGAGTGCTTGTCTAGAATGCTTGAAGCCCTGGGTTTGATTCCTCAGTACGACATAAACAGAAAAAGTTGGAACTGGCTCTGTGGCTCAAGTGGTAGAGTGCTATCCTTGAGCAAAAGAAGCTCAGGGACAGTGCCCTGGCCCTGACTAGCCCCAAGACTAGCTTAAAAAAAAAAAAGAAGCTGATGTCTGAAGATTGTGGTTCCAATCCAGTCAGGTCATGAAAGTCTTGTGATACTCTTAACTCCAGTTAACCACCAAAAAGCTGGAAATGGACCTGTGGCTCAAGTGGTAAAATGCCAAGCCTTGAGTCAAAAGCTAAGGGGCAGCACCGAGGCCCTGAGTTTAAGCCAGTATACAAAAAATAATTTTGGATAAACCCCTATTCATTTTCTAGGGACACCTAAGTGAGCAAATAAAGACAATACTTAGCTTTATGCACATTTGGATTTTTGGTGTTAACATCATAGAGAATCTTCATCCTA